TTAAATTTTGTACACTTATAAAATACAACATACTATACAAATTCTGATTCGATTCCATATATAAAATTTCTTGATATTTTTATAACCAAGTTGGGATAAGCAGTTGCTTTTGGTCTTAAGAAAACCCGCCTTTATAGACTCGTTTTCCTTCAGGAATGTAAAATATATAACAAACGGCCTGTAACTAATCCAAGCGCACTTTATGAGAGCCATTTCCTTTATTTTCTTCCGTGCCTGTTAACAGCGAGCCTTTTCTCACAATTTACTAGCAATTCCCCTTTTTAATTTCAAAAAATTAATACCGCGCCGTAAATGGCAAATGGAATTTCGAAAGATTAGTTGCATTATACCTACATAATTCTTCATTACACCTGTTATAATGCTATCAAGTCCTCATACACCTCATTAAACGAACTTTGGATACCGATTGGTATGTGGTAATTATTTATTTTTTTCAATCAATATAAATATAGTGTGGGAAAGCAGCTCTTGAAGATCAGAGTGATAATTTTAAACTACTGGATGGACAATTAGTCGCGAGCTTATTCGAATCTGAATGTTTTCGCTTTAATTACTCAAATATACAGTATGTACCTATAAATGGTTGTCTGTTTTATAAAGGTACATGTTTCTCAGTATGCTAATCTGAATTTTTTTTAACGAAAGAAATAGTCGAGTTGCAATTCGTTTTTTAACAAAAATAATTATTTTTGCCGCTCTGTACACATTGAACAGAATTTGTAATCTGTGGTTTTCAAATTATTTCAAGTCAAGTCCTTCTTCTTCTCTGTTTCTATTTTCTTAGGCTCGTATTCATAGTCGTTCCTTGAGGAACAAGGATCCCTTATTCCGTATTCCGCATGCCATAAGGATTACGCAATAAGGGATCCTTGTTCCTCAAGGAACGATTATGAATACGAGCCTTAAAGCACTGTGTGTAGTATGTGAATATCAGTGTCAACGACCTCTGACATTGACCTGGTTTAGGTAAATAATAAATATAATAATAAAACGCCTGATGCAATATGACAACAGAACGCTAGGCGAACAACAAAAAATAAATTATTCATTTTATTAGGTTTATTTTTGTTTCTAATGTATAAATAATAATTGATCATTTGTTGTCAAAATTTTTAACATTTCTTTCAGTGTATCCAAGTAGTTAAAACGCGCACGAAATAAATGGACGTAGTTGCTGATTTCTGGATATATTAACTAATAAGTTGAATGGATATGTTCAACCTATCGCTCATAAGATTGGATAATAAAGTATTAGAGTTGTCAGCTAAATTATTAATGACTTGCCAAAAGGCAAAGCGATGTGCTTGACAAAAGATGAGTTGGAAAAATTGCTATAAAAACAAATATATTTCTGATAAAAAACATCAATTGTCGTATGGCGCAGACAACTATGTAATATACCTTTGCCAAATTTTATTTTTGAAGTTACAGATTTAAAGTTTGATAACAAAGTTTACATTTTTTTCTGTGTGTGTGTTTGTCTATTAAAAATTTCAACATGCTCATGAAGAACTAATATTAGTTTGACTTTGTTTTTGCAATTATAAATACATTTTCTTAATGCCACCAATAAAAATTGTTTAGCTTATGCAACCAATTATACAGTATACCACAATAATAATTTTCAGTATCATCAGTATATTTGAATGGTGAAATAAAGTACGAGTAAAACTGCTTCTGCAGGTACATACAAGAAACACATAAAAATAAATTAATAAATAAATAAAAATAAAATTTGATGACGGAATGAACAAATAATACCACTTTACCGTTAGCTACTTGCTTTGTTGTTTATTGTCTTTCCGTATTTTGTCACGATGTTAGTTATCATCAGTCTTTTCCAACAACATGGATGTATCATATTTTAAAATTGCGAAATGAACGACGTGTGGTTTTCGCCATTCGCAAACTTTTTTCGGATTATCGATTCCGAAACATCTAAACTTTTCGGGAAATAATAGAAATCCCCCACCATGTACAAGGCAACAGAGAATAAATCCAATTTGGAGTATAATTTTAATCGAATACTCTATTTCACTGAGTATACGAGTAGTTTGAACCACAAAAGAAATATAATCATTTGATCTTTGGCCATTCGAAGACTGCTTTTTGTACTCGAATGTCACATTTTCCTGTGATGGATGACCCTGTCCAGTTTTTAGCGAATTATCGATCGAATTTCTATGCGTTCCGTATGATTTCACTTGCGCAATTTTCTTTTAACGATCCAATTACCAAGGCATCCTTAAATCGGGCGCATTTCGATAGACCCCAGACCAACTAATAGGCGGTGTAGCCGTCTAGACGGTGCACTTTCGAACGCGTTACCCAACGAGTGCGTATTACGGGCATTTTTTCGGTCTGGGCTCGGGAAAAATGCACTTTCTCGCGCGGATGAAGAAAAAGTCGCATTGGAAGCCGTAGTAGGGCACGGCGAAGGCGACCCGCCGGGGAAGGGGGAGGGAGGGGGCAGGTGTTATGATCGATCTACATGCACCTCACGGGCGCCGGCAGATGGACGCCTGGCGCCACGGGAGTGACGTCACCGCCGTGTTGATGTTACGCTCAGCGCACCTGTCAATGACACGAGGTGTTGCCAAGCGCCGCGGAATTCTCTTTTTTCCACTACTTTGGGCGGTTATGGTAAAAGCGTCGTCTGAGGTGAGGTGTCCCTCTGAACCGTAGGTCATCAATTAAATACCAACATATAGGGTGTAACTTCAGTACGTGACAATATTTGAAGATATTATTTTAAGACAAGAAATTAAGTACTTATTGGTGTTGCCTAATTTTCATATATTACAAAGACTATAAAATAGACCTTTTTTACTCCATTGCGTAATTTTAAAACGGTGGAAAGAAATTATAAGATTTTACAAAGCGTTTGGTAAAGGTATCCAAGTAAATATAAAATGAAATAACCGAATATTTATTTTATTCTTGTCTTTTTTTCAGCACTTGTGAATTAATAAGTTAGGTAAATTTATTGGAATAAAATCGTTTAAGATACTTTCATTCATCTTTCGGAATTTGTTGAATATTGAGCTTAATTGATTTGAAACAAATGTATCGGAAAAAAAAGTTTATGAATTATTTTAGCTATTTTTCACGAACAATAACTTATTATGGTTAGTTTCCAAAATGGTTGTGAGTAGAACTCGGAGCTCAAGAAGAAACAATTGCATCGTAATCTATGTACCGGTATTCTACTTATAAGTATTAGGTAGCTAATCCTAATATAGAATATACAGGGTGATACAGAGCTTATCCAAAAAAATCCGGATGTACAGGGGATTATGACAAATAAAATTTTGTAAAGAAAAAATCAAGAAGGGCAGTTCGAACATGATTTAAAAATACACTTCTGCACGGCACTGGAAACTGGTCCACTGTAAAACCTGACCTGGCACAATGGGTCCGTCACGGCGGCAGTGATAAAAATGGACAAAAACTGGAAAGAATTTCGCACGGAAAGGAATAAATAGAATTTTATAGCAATCAATCAATAATTTGTGGTTTTAAATGGTAAACACATTTGAGTCCGTCTTAGGTACTCAGTTTCTACGAACTAACACAAATGCTGTCTTGTTTCACCATAACACAAACGCTTTACCATAATACAAATGTTTTCTTCCTTCACTATAAATTAAAACGATATACATCAACTCCGAGAGTTACTATACACGCAAGCCATTTTTGACACTAACTACTAAAAAACTACTGTAAACACTATGGTAACGACTACTGTAAAATCGGATTTCAGTATTCGGAGTCGCTGAGGCTACGTGGCTCTCCACGCCAATTACGCATGGTACTAGAGACTAGAGTTGTCCAGCTATGAAATAATTGAAAGTGATGCAACTTCAATAATTTTTTTTTCGGAAATTATAAGGATTTTACGAAATTTTTTTAAAGATATTGACTCCATTTCTCATGCCGCATCTATTCCCAAATTTTCTTGAATAAGTTGGGAATCACCCTGTATAATATCATGCCCTCTCGTTTACTTAAAACGTATTTACTTTGAATTAAATTTACCTCTCCCGGCAACTTTTCGTCTCATTGTGATATTAGCACGTCTTGCAAAAAACTCAGTTCAGCTTTGGTATATATAGGGTGTTCTTCAAGCTCTGTGACGAACTTTGATAGTTGGTAGCTAGGATATATAATATCAACATTTTTTCTTACACGAACATATATCAATTAATATAGATGGAGATAATTTAGAACCACTATGTATATCATTTTTAATATGTCCTTTCAACTATAACTATGATGGTAATACTGAAATACACCTCGTCGCTATCAGAAAGTTACATTTCCTTCGTATGACAAGTATCTCGCGTTTCTTGTAAACGCAAAAAAAGAAGTAGTAAGAAAGTTGGGTTGCAGGAGCAATTAAAATTATTACGGAATAGCATGCGTTCGTTAAAAAAGTTGACATCCTTTTACATGACAGAATGAGATGTCTCGCTAGTAGGTCGGGTTTAAGAGGAGCAGTTGGACCACACACGCAGTTCAATGCAAATTTCAGACTCGTTCTTCAGTGTAGCTATCGGTCGAATCGATCTTTGATCCAATATCTCGGATAATTCATCAGTCCAGTCCTTCCAGCCTAGTAAAATATAGGAAGGAAAATGTCTGGCTCTTAGGAAATCATATTGATCGAGTTTGCTTTAGTTTAATGCATTAGTCAGAATATACTTACTTTAGTACCTAGTGGTCCAAGAAAAGTTTCCACTTGCAATTTTAAAGAGTGTGCTTTGAATTTCTGCCATGAGTAAAAATACCTAGCTTATACTTTCTGAAGGGTCAAGGTTATTTCCATTTTTTTATTATTCAAATTCACAGCATATGACGAAGATATACTCCGGTGCGCATTGAGTGCAAAAATGAAAATAAATCGAAAACGCTATAATTGCTTCCTTTTGATTCCATTATTATTGGAGCAATTAATCTATATGTAGTCTTTTTTTCAGATTCCTGTATGAATCCGCAGGTGTGGTGTAAGTTGGCGTACTGGGAACTGTCACAACGTGTGGGTCCACCTTTTCCTGTAGAACCTACGGCTGTGAATGTTTTTGGAGATGATCCCTATGGTGATGGTCTTAATTTAGAAACCTTAGCTCAACATAGTTTTAGTCCTCCCGAGTCAGTGCAGCAAGCTAGGCGTAAAATTGGCTTAGGTAAGTTCGAATTAGATTTAAGAAGCATATAGTACTGCGCAAGCTGTTAACGTTAGATACATATAAAGGACAAGAGGGTCTAATTATTGACATTGCTCACAGTTTTAGAGAAAATTAGGCCAACCGATGTCGGGTGGGCAGCGGGATCGAATCATCGATCAGTTCTTGAACCCGAAAAAGAGTCAATTCGTTGCTTAAACAGTTACAATATAGGATCATAAAAGTAATTAATACAATAAACAACAATAATAAATGTCAGATCAGAGCTGTTTTCTTTTATTCATAGTTTCAGAATCATAACGCATTATGATTCCGAAATCATGAATAAAAGAAAAGGGCTCTGATGTGGTCGATCGCAATGCCCCCTAGATCCTGATGGTGTACAAACGTCAAAATTTATGGGCAAGGCTTTGACTTATTAGCTGTATTTGTTTTACACACTTGGTCACTTTGGTTAATTCATTTTCAGTACACTTCTGACCAAGTTTGTTTTTTTTAAACAAGTGAACAAACCAAAATATGACCAAAATCAGTTCCCCCCTTTCCGATCTAATCGAGCCTAATATCGTGGTTAGTAAGTGAACAAGATAACCGAACAAAAGATAACCTACAAATAATAATAATCATTAACCTAAATAACAAAAATAAGCCGTTGATAATGGATCTGGATTCATCCGAAGAAGATATGTTGATTGTAAGTATGTTGGGCACAGTATGATTGACAACAACAACCTAATTAAACTGAAATTGAACAAACGTCAAATGTCAAAATTTAAAATGGAGTAGATGTATGTTTTGTTTAACCTAGAGTTTGTTCAAATCACGGCCACTTCTAATTTGGTCAACTTAACCAAACTGAACTAACCAAGTGGTAAAACAAATACAGCTATTATCTAATAGCGTTAGCTTTATAAACTCAATGCTGTCAATTTCCCACTTCTTGCATCCACCGCCCACTGCGCTATTTTGTTATTTTGTAGTTGAACAGTTCAATTGCGCGGTTAAATTACAAGTTTAGCTTAATTTAAAATAATATGTAGGACCGTCAAAAAGAACCGCAATTCGATAGCGTGCCAAGCGGGTCAACTGACAATGAGACATGCGTGAGCTGCTGCCTCAGAATACTTTTCACGTTCATCGTGCGGATGTTGCGTAATTAATTGCTATCCTTTGGTGTTTATGGTGGTGTATTGTAGACAATTTAATTTGTTGCTTTGTAATAAATAATGCGTACGCCTATGTTCCGCGGCTCAGTTCTGACAGCCTTAATAGGCCCATTCAATGATATATAATTTTAAACTTTTTCTTTCATTTCCTTCTAGTATTTAACCACCTAAATATATCTTAAAAAAATTAGTTCAATAGGATTAATAATAAGTGATATATTTAATTCTGAATTTGTAAGACCCTTAAAAAGGTCAACACTGAGGGAGAACATGTAATGACGTCACGATACCAGCCACTCGGCGATCAAGTCGCGAGCAGTCGGAGAGATGTATAGGTATTTGCTATACTTTTACCTACAGGGTCGGAAAGTCCCCATGGTTACGTGAGAGCTATAAAGAAAGTCATAGAAATCCGTGCGATAGAGAAAGATGGCTATAATGAAGGCGTCTAATAATCACCGCCCATTACGCCCTTCCACAAATAAGATCCACTTCTTATTTGTGGCGCGCTTTGCGCGGATAAATTACAGTCAGTATATGTTACCTAAATCTCAAAATCAAAAGATTATAATTCAATTATTTTTGCGTGTAACTATTTACAGAACGAATAAATTCGGTTGTACTATAATAATACACTTTTTACACAATACACAGTCGATACACAGTTGATATACTTAACAATTAATATTTAATGAATTTGTACATAGTAAACTATTAATTATCAACGAATTAGGCATTTTCATTTTACAAGTTTGGTACATAAATAATAAATAATAAACTCCAAGTTATAATATAATTTAAGTAAACCTAACACCTAACCCGACTTAACTTTAAAGTTAATGACTAAGTTAGGTTAGATTGTTATTCTAATATTATCTATTTGCAAAATACCTGAAAATTTATTACCTAACACATGTTATCCTTTAACATTTTAAACAATATTGTTTTTTTTTCCAGGAGTAACACTGTCACACGAAGAAAATTGTGTCTGGGTGTACAACCGCTCAGAAAATTCGATCTTCGTGAGCTCACTGACTCTGGAGGATCCCGATTCACCCTCACCTACAAAAGTACCTGCCGGCAACTGCCTTTGCATCTTTGACCCTGTCAAGGCAGCTCAGCAAAATTATGGATGGAATTTCACCCATCCCCAGTTCGGTCCCATCGACCCAAATTCTGTTAGGATCAGCTTCGTGAAGGGCTGGGGCCAGAAATATTCCAGGCGAGAGATAATGTCCTGCCCCTGTTGGTTAGAAATATTGCTAGCCCCTTGTAGGTGATTAAAAACATTTTTGATAGTAATGAGGGCGTCAAGGAGAAGGAAGGACTTTGTTGTTATATTTTTTTGAGAAAAAAATGTACAAAGGAGTACTATTATTAATTAATATTGTGATTAAAAAGCAAGTTTTTTGTACTAAAATGAAAAAAGAAGAAGCAAGGCTGACAATTTAAAATTTTGTTTTTTGCACCTGAAGGTGGACGAATTGTGCTGTAACATTGTTTCCGTCCGATTTTTGTAATTTTTTTTACAAGGAAAATGCCTGGTTTAAAACTAGCATCGTTTCGATCTGAATAACATTTAAAGAATTTCATAAAAAGCATTCCAATGATTTTGAATGAAACATTACTTGAGGCGAACAATATTTTATATATTATTTTTTAACATTACCTACCTGTAGATATTTAATGTTAGATTGATATATTTTTTAAAGAAAAAGAAAAATATGATTTTTAAGAGGACAAACGTGATGGGGTAATTGTCATTTATGAGGTTCTTGGTGATACTTCAACGAGCGGATTCAAAAACAAAATTAAAACAGGTATTTTCAGTTTTTGTGTAACTACCTCTGTAAGCGCAGGGTAGCCAAGATGTGGAAACAAAAAAGTTTATGTGCAGTTTTACAAATTACTGTTGAATCTGAGCGAATATGAACTTTTTATTAAATTGTAAAAGTTTGTACTATTACGAACCCGTTGGTACACTTTCCCTAGTTATTTCTTACTTCGCCTTATTCATAGCTCGGCGAGTGAGAAATACTTGGAGGAAAATGTTGTATAAAAATTGTATTTAAATTTTTTCAGAGCTAGACGTACTGATGTAAATTTTAGGATGTTGAAAATGCCTTATTTACATCTTAGAAGAAGATGTACTTTAAAGGTTTAAAATATAAATCAGTTTGTATTTTGGTGCTTTGAGGCATTAAGGATGTCTATGTAGTCAGGGACCACAATCTCTTAAACTTGTTTCTGATTTAAAAAAGCACTTTATTTTTGTATTACTCGCATAGTATGCACATGTGGCCACAGTACAATATTATCCTAATATTAATATGTACATAAACGAGGAACATAAGCTAGAAATATGTGGGTGTAGTGTATAGTAAGCGGACGGGGTGTTTTCCAACTTTTTAACTACATCACAAAATAAAAATATGGGATTCATATTTTTTCATTGAAATCTTATAAAAATATGCGTTGTGACGTCATTAACCAAAAATTTCAAATTATTTATTATTTATAAACTAAAAATAATGCATAAAATTATATTAGAAATTCCAGATTTATTTGATTAAAAATTATAAAAGTTATATTGTCATACTCATAAAATGTTGAATTTCTAGTTATCAAAATTTTCAAATTCAAACATTTAATGATTTTTCTAATTTTTCGCTAGGTGACATCATACACGTAAAATAATGTTTCAAATTAAACTACGAAAAATACCTATTTAATTAATTCTTTCATTAAAAATATTTATATATAAATATATTCTATTTTCTTTTCCGTTCATGGAAACTACCCTATTCAGAGACAGGTAATTAAAATTTGCATTAACTGTTAACTACCATTTAAATTTATTTCTTTTTAATAAACGTATTTAAATCATAGAAATTTTCATTTATGTACTTATGGCATTTTTAACAGTACTGCATGTAACAGAATGAAGACAAAACAATTCTTTGTATCCAAATGTATATATTTAAAATCTAGAGGAGTCAGAATCTCATTCAGACCTATTATACTCACAAACTAAAGGAATATTTTTTAATGATTTTCAGACAGATATTCTCCATATTTTAGTTGCTTGGATATTGATTCTTTTACGTCTAGCCCGTTTGGCTAGGGAAAACATGATTTTCCCAATTTGTTTTAAGATTTGTTTTTGGAGCTGGAATTTTCATATTAGAAGAAAGTTTCTATCTTCTCTTTATATATTTTGGATATATTATCAGATGTCGTTATAGGGTGAAATAAATTTTAAAATACTCAAAAAACAAACGTTGCAAATGTGTTTTTATTTTTTAGTGTGGTCCGATGTCAATATATCATGAATGGGATTTACTGTTAATATTTTTTGCAAATTTTAAAATGTCCGATAAAACGTACACTTACATTTTTAATAACAGAACATTATTCTCATGTGCGTACTTTGTGCAATATTTCCCAGTTATACAAAACTGTTGTGTTACTTATTATATTGATTGTGTATTAGCAATTGGTAATAATAATAAATTTGTTTCCTTTGGTTTCAAAAATTGAATATACGTTACTAGTCATTTAGTCAACTTTTACGCTAGGTCCAGCCATATAAATCTTTGTAAATTATAGAGTGCCTTTAAATAACAGCAAATATTGTAAAAATCAGATTATTGTACTATAATTGTAGAAATTTGTAATTAATTTGTTTTTATTTATTAATCTATTTAATTATACATTTTTGTATATAAGAATAAATTTAATATAAAATTCTCGAGTTATATTATTTAACTTTTTTATATATGATTATCTTTTTACTTTGTATGTCCATATCGTACCTATAATTTACCTTGAAGTTTTTGTTATTTATTATACAGAGTTGTACACGCTGAATACTCATATTTCCTAGTTTTTTTTTTCAGTACTAAAATTCATGACAATCAGTCAAAATAGCCCAAAAATGTAAATACTGTACATTAGTAAATACAGCACGGAGAGGGAGTGAAATCCCTTAATTTATAAATAAAAAACTATTAATTTATACAGCATCTGTTTTATTTCTTTAGATTTCCTAATAACGAGCTATTTACTGAAAAAATTCTCATAAACTGTTACAAACGATAATTTGTATCAATTATAAAAGAAGTAAAAAAAACTTATTGTTTAGGAATCTGGAAAATATATGATTTGATTTACCTAGTTCACCATAAATCCTCAAAGGGGTGCTGTCATCAATGTTATCCCAAGAAGTTACTCTTCTACTATCACCATGTCCGATGTTCAATGGTAGCAACATAAATCTAGAAAAAATCTAGGTGGCGTAGCAGTCAAATATGTGTTATAGCTGTTTTACATTGACAATTTATTCATCGATAAATTGACGAAGTTCTTCATCAATTAATTCACGAATTTATTGGTAAACAGTGTGGTTTTACACTGCTACAGACATTGTCAAGTTTTTTGACGTATGAATCGGTTCTACCAATGAATCAAAGAAGCAAATAAATTTCAAAAATATCACCTTTCCACTCATAATTCTAGTGATACAACAGCGGTACCGTTCTGACACATATTATATAAATATTAGTTTTTGTAAATAACAAATCAGTAAAAACAATGCAAAACTAGCACGACGCCACTCAATTATTTACATATTTCAATAACACGCGCCATTATTCCATGGCTAGAAATTGGCCTCAATGATTTGGGATCGAGGGGGATTATCCCTCTTTATCCTGCCTCATCTCGTGTAGGCCTGGACAGCCTTCGTAGGTGGGCCCCATCCGTCGTCTACCCCGACCGCAAATGCGGCCGGTGTAGGCGCTTTGTGGGACCTCCTTTTGTCCTGGCTGGGCCCCGCCGGCTAGGGCCCTTTCTTCTGGCGCTCTTCTTGCTTCGCCGGCTCGTCTGTGTAAACCCCGGGGGTAGTGTCATGTTTATGTGTGGTATGGTTGGGTAGGGTAGTGCGGCTATGCAGCCTGGGATGCGCTTTGCTAAGG